CAAAGCACAACAGGTGAAGTTATAGCAGCTCTTGCTGCTAGCCAGCCTCCTCCACCCAATTAGTGGTTTCAAAGAGTTTTCCAGCTGACTGTGGGGTTTGATAATTTTTAAATTTTTCTCAAAAGCACTGCTATTTGCAGTGTCCAGACAGAGGAAAAAGCCCTCCCTGTTCTCATATGAATTTGTTTTGATGCCAGAGAAAGCTCCTTCCTCTCGTCAGTCCAGTTGGGAGCACTGTGCAGAGCCCAGCACTCCGCATGCAGCATCAGCTGCTCCTGGGAGAGCAAAACCCACACTGGTTTTAGACATCTTTTTTTAGGTAAGGCCTAGATGGGCCAAAGTTCCCCCTGCATCGCACACCCACCCAACTGGGGTTGTGAACCTGGCATTGCTGATGCCCTGCTAGTGCAGAGCACAAAGCGTCGGGCACATTGAGCAATTTTTTTCTCTTCCCTGGTAAAAGGAAAATATGACTCAGCTCAGCCCAGCCGAGCCCTCAGCTGTGACCTGCTCCTTCCTGTAATTTACAGAGTTTCTTCTTTATTGTCTGCTTTATGCAGCCATGGCATATTTTCAACTAATGCAAGAGGAAGCTTTCAGTCTTTGAACTTGGCCATTTCAATTTCTCAACTTACTTCAATCCAAAATTTCCTATCCAAGCTGTGGATCACTCCTGACAGTCACACTGCTGTGTTTTTTTCAAATCCCTTGGGAAATAAATTAACAGAATTGGCTTCTCTCCCTTATCAGATATGAAAGCATCTTGCCAGGCCTTTCCAGGTAGGATGAGAAATAACAGAAGGTTCAACTGGAACAGCATGTAAATAAGAAATGAATGGAAACATGGTACCACCTTTTGTTTGCATGTTGAAAACATCTCTTCGGTGATTTCATTTCCTCAGTTGCTCATCTGCAAAGAAACCTTGAACTGTTTCTGTCCCAGTCCTTGGGAAGGACTGTGAAGTGATGGAGGTAAACCTCTGGCTAACTCAATTTCCTCATCATCTCTTCAATGTGCCACAACATCTCACGTCCCCATGAATCACTGGGTTCCTGGGTGAAATCACATGTCTTAGGATTTCTCTAAGTGTCTGACAAGTGAGCTGGTGGTCAAAACTCCAGTCATCTTTGGAAATCGGTGATGGGCACAAAGTCCTGGAAATCAGGGGACAGAGGAAGGTGCCTGGAGGATGGGCTTCTGTATCAACATCCTGACTTTTAGCAGCCTTCTGGGACAACTAGCATTGCTTCTTCATCATTACCATTTCTTTTTTTGCAGGCTGAAGGCCTGTTACAACTAATTTGGAAACTTTCTGTTGCAAAATGCGAGGCATTGAGTTCAGAGTGAAAACCCGACACAATCTGATAGGAAACAGCAAGGAAGTTTGGTACCCAACACCAAATGCTCCCCAGTCCTGTCTCTGTCTCATTGCACACAAACGTCTGGCACTGAACTTTCAAATTCACAAATTTCCAAACTTGGAAGCTAGATGTGATTAAATCCTTCCCTGCAAAAAGCAGTCAGAGACAGTAAATAGGGCACAATGCCTAGTGTAGTGCCTAGGAGCAGCATTGCCATGTACCCTTTGAAGGAGGTGGGCAGACAGGACCTGGCCCATGGGCTCCATGAACAGCGCTGGGGGCTCGTGGATGGAAGCAAAGCCCTACTCCCTGCTTCCTCTTGCCTGTGAGACAGGAGTGTGGTGCTGCAGGAAAACGAAGGTGATCAGAGAATCAATGAGCAGAAGTGAGGGTGGGTGTATGGAGGGGCTCTGAAGGATGAAAATCCTTTAGCAAATAATGAGGCTTGTAAATTAGTCCTACTTAATAAAAATACATGAATAAGTTAACATTACCTGCTGGTTAAATCTGTTTGGTGTTTCTTTGTTGCACCATTAAGTAAATTCTGGGAAAGCAGCTTATCCCTTGAGCACATAGTATGACTCTATAATGGGTAACATTCTCTATTTTGTCATGCATTCATCTTGCTGAGGAACAACAGAGCAATTTCCAGCAGCTCTGCCTCCCACCAGCCTCCCTGCCCAGAGAAAGCATCGCAGCCCGATTTGGCACCAGGGACAACATAGCCAATGTGTGCACAAGCTGTTCCTGCT